TCTGAGAAACAAACTGAGGGTTCTAGAGGGGAGGGGGTGGGGGGATGGGTTAGCCCAGTGACGCGTATTAAGGAGGGCACATATTGCATGGAACACTGGGTGTTATAAGCAAACAATGATTCATGGAACACTACATCAAAAACTAATGATGTAATGTATGATGACTAACATAATAAAATTTTAAAAAAACAAACAAAAACAAAAAAAACTGTTTCATCAGCTACTTATGTAAACAGTTTCTTGTCAATGGTGACTACCAAGAATTCGAAGACCTATTAAAATATCTTGATCGAGAATTGGATATAGCCGTATCAAGCATGCAACTTGATATTTACCAGTTCTGTCTAGAAAGCAAGATCAAGTTTCTCATTAAGGTGCTTTAAAAATGTGTTTGGGAATTTTACACAAAATCAGTATTTAAAATCTTCTCTAATACTTGGGTTTTACTGATTTTCGTTATTATAGCATATGAAGAAAATATAATATTTTGTTCTACTAACCGCCAAATAAACACTCAAAATACTCCTTAACTTAGTGCTATGAAAACACTTCATTTTCTATGTGCACCATGACATAAAAAAGGTCGGGCTTGGAATGGAGTAGTGAGCCACATTATCACAGTGAACAAGATTTCACAGTACTTATTTACTACGTTAACATTCTAAGCAGAGGATAATGCTCTTGGCTCCTTTCCCTTTTAAAATTTAGATCAGAATTTATCACATATACCACCACCATTATTGTCCATCTCATAAAAAACCTGCAAGAAATGTTCAGATTATATATGGCCTCCCTTTGTATATTACCAAATCTTACTCATTCTTCTCTGTACAGCCAGCTCTGAAAACCCAACCCTGTGACCCTTTCCCCTCAGAATCCCTCTTCCCTCTGCTTTGAGCCTTTTCACACATCAGGTTATCTTTTGACAAACAATAATGGCGTCTTATCTCATAAGCAACTTGAGAGGATCCCTGTCTTAACTTCTTCATATCCCCCATGATTCTGAGAATACACTAAGTAAGCTCTTCGTGGTTATCACTAATTACTACAATGCTGTTTGGAGAATCAAACGTTAGGAATGAATTGAGATCAACTAATGATTTCTTTGTAATACATATTCATTTTTGAAAATATGAAAAATATGGGTAAAAATCACAATTCTATTCAGAAATATCCATCTTTATCCCTTTCCTTCCTGTCTTTTTCTGCACATGCATGCATTATATAAGCTGCATTTTTAAAAAATAAAATTTGAATCCGAGTATATGGAGTTGGTGTTTGCTTTTCCGTTTAATATAACTGTAGGGTTTTCGCCATGTCAAGTAAATTATGGCACATCCAGATATTTTACAAATAATAAAATGATGTCTTAGAACAGTGCTTCTCAAATTTTAATGAGCATATAAATCACCTGGGATTGTTACAATACAGATTCTGGTTCAACAGGTCTTGAGATGGATCCCAAGATTCTGTATTTCTAACAACCTCCCAGATGATGGTGACACTGCTGGTCTGTGGACCACACTCTGAGTAGCAAGGGCTTAGAAAATAATATATATTCCAGTGATGATGAACACACATAATTTTCAATGTCTGGCTCATATGCAGTGAAATACCATATCAATGGAGTGATAAGAATCCTTACACACAATGCAGGAGTAATACAAATATTTATCAAGTGTGTACTATGTACGCATACAGGCACAAAGATCATTAAAAACCTAATTACTGGCCAATGTCAATAGATATCAGTCTTTCCAAGACTCTGGACGCATACAAAGGACATTCCATAAAAAAGCAGACCAGTGGTTTCCAGGGAACAAAGGGCAAGGCAAAGAGGGAGGAAACTTTCAGGGGTGGTGGGTATGTTCATTATCTTGATTGTGGTGATATTTTCATGGATATTTTATATGTAAAATCTGTTAGAATGTATCGAATTGTACACTTTAAATATATGCAGTTCACTGTCAATTACACAGTAATTTTTTTTAAATACAGGGGGAGGGGAGGAGCCACAGAATCTGTTCCAGAAAGGTGTTTACATTCTACCAGCTGCATCGGCAAGCACCTACCTCATCACACCTTCTTCGGCAGTACTGCAATTCTTGAAAAAACAAAACTGCTAATTTAAAAGGCAAACATAACTCATTTTTTTGGATGTGCATGGTTTTGATTAGTAGTAGACTGAAATTTTTTTGTGTTGATCAGTTCTTTGCTCATTTTTCTTTTGTTACGTGAGTGTTTCTTACCAATTTATAGGGGCTCTTCAGATATTTGTCAAAAATATATCATCTATTTTTTCCCCTCAGCTTGATGTTTACCTTTTTATATACTTGGCGTAATTGTAATCTATGTAGACATTTTAAAGAAGTTCAAGGCTAAAAAAATAAATAACAATAAAAATCTTAACCCAGCTCCAAACACGAACAAGACTCAAAGTTTAGAACACAGAATTAGGCATAAATGAAATTAAAGTCTTTTCCAAACACCTAATTTCTCTCACAAGATGGCTGACTTATCACCACAGAAGCAAGCCGTGTATATAAACACATCAACTTCTACCTTTCACATTCGCTCTTTTGGTTGGTTGATACAGTAAAACAGGTTAGTTTCATCATTTCTACAGTGTGGAGACAGTGGTACTAAGATATAAAATATTTTGTGACTTGATTAAGAGTAGTCATAATTTGGATTTATAAACTCCCTAGTGATCCTCTCTCACTGAATGAGAAATGGGTCTATGAAATCAAACTGGGGCTGTGTGGTTTGAGTTTTTTTGGGGTTTTTTTTTGAGTCAGTTGAATGAATACCAGAAAAGGAGAATATATAAATATTCTCCTAGAGGAATAAATCTTTCTATCCTGAGACTTATATATTATTAAACTGTTTCCCTTTGCTGTACGTGGAGTCTCACAAGACTGTTTTAGACTACAAACCAATAAAAAATGCCGATACTAGTAATACTAGTATAAAAGAGGAATGTCTTTTTAATCTGCCATGCCAACCGGTAATACTAGTATAAAAGAGGAATGCCTTTTTAATCTGCCATGCCAACTGGTACAAATGCAAAGAAACTACTTCCTCAAAAGGTAGTTACAAGTATTCATAAAATTATCCAGTCCTTTGAACATGAGCCATAATTAGCCACTAGAAGCAATAGATACACACATAACATTTAAAGAATGAATTTTAGTTTCTTTAATAAAGTATTTTCAACTCCCATTCTGAAGCTTCTAAGGGTTAAATTGTTGGGCCAAGGACACAAAGCTAAGTGCTGTCCAATCTGGAACCAGAATCCAGATTTCCTGAGACCCAAGCCAAAGGGCAGTAGAGGATGGAATGATGTGGGCATCAGTGACGGGGCTGAGACTCATGAAAATCAAGTTCTTTGAGCTCTAACTTCCTCAACCATAAAAGGAGGGAGGTGGGTTAAATGATTGCCAAATTTCCTTTCAGCCCTAACCTTTCCTAAATGCAGGCCGGATAAGTGAATAAAATCTCTGACAGTTGAGCAGTCCTATGCTGGAGCTTTTTTATGGCCGCCCCAAGGTTCAACTCTCTTAAGCCCAAGTCAGCTCAGGCTCACACTCCAGCCCTGCCCTATTACCTGCATAGTCGTGGCAAATAATTTATCCTCATATTAGGGATAAGGAAATGAGAGCCCCCAAGAGGATCCTAATAGAGCTATACCTCTAAGAGTTAAGATAATGAAAAGAGAGCATAGGTGTGAGAACTTAGCTGGGTCTGGCAGAGAGCAAGATGTCCAGAAATTGCAGGTCTGTGTATTTGGTGTACCTTAGTTCATCTGGGCTGATGTTAACAGAATGCCATCAACTCGGTGGCTTATCAACAACAATTTATTTCTCGCAGTTCTGGAGGCTGGCAAGTCCAAGATCAAGGCTCTGGTGGACTCAGCGTCTAGTGGGGGCCTCTTCCCTGCTCACAGAGGGTCATCTCCTCACCGTGCCCTCACATAGCAGAAGCAACAAGGGAGCTGTCTGGGGTCTCTTTTGTAAGAGTACTAATACAGTTCACGAGGGCTCCACCTTCGTGGACTAACCACCCCTCAATGCTCTACCTCAAATACCATCACATTGGGGGTTAGGTTTCAACATAGGAATTCAGAGGGGGCGACATAAACACCCAGTCTCTTGCACGGAGGTAAAACCATTCCAACTTAACATGGCATCAGGATTCATAGCGAAAGTCTCTGTGTCCACATGAGTCAAACACTAGGTAGACAGCTATACTGCAGATTTGAACAAATATTTCAACAAAAGAATGAACAAACGTAACTGAAAAGCAGTGCTCAGGTCTGACTCACAACATAGTTCAGCTATATATTTAATCTAAATGACTTCATGAAATGGTGGGGGGAGAGAGGGAAAGGAAGGGGAAGGAAGGATCTCAGCAATGGCAAAAGTGACGTGAGCAACCCACAGCCTACCAGGTTTAATAAATTTGGACTCCTTGCCATCTCTGCATCTTTCCATGGGACCCACGAACCACTCCCACCTCAAATGCCTGTTACGAACGCAGACGCCCCATCTGCAGCCATCCCGGCCATGCTATTTCGTTGTTTCTCACACACACTGCAATTCGAGCACCCAGCTACCATGTGGTCAAACTGAAAAATGTGGTCAATGCCTGAGTCCCAGGACAGCTTACCGAGAGAGTGCAGATGCGCAGATGCGCAGATTTCGAACACAAGGACTGCCCAAGCCACCTCAGCCGCAGCCCATCCCAACTAAGGAACCAGTGTTCAATGCATCAAAGCTAACGAGCAAAAGTAAAACCTACAGCCCACGAAATCTGTCAAATATCTGGGCCCTGGAGGGAATAGGTATGGTTGGGAAAGTGACCCTTCTGGAGCCACCTTCTAAAATGCCAAAAACAACATTTCTTCCACTCTTAAAATTAATTTTAACAGTGAACTGAAGTGACACTTTCTGTTATGGTGAGCAGTAAGGTGAATGCCACTGACAACTGAATTGTAGTCTTTATTAAAGTTCTTTTACAAACTTACGTCTGCTAATACGAAAAGTCCGCTTTGACTTTAACACGTGCTTTGCAGATTTACATCAGCAGTAAGAAAGGCTTCAGCTGAGTAGAGTTTGGTCTTCAAAAGTGTGACTACATCCTGCATCTCCAGCCTTTCCACCTCCCAATTACGGACCTTACCAAAGAAGGGGGAAAATCATCAGTTTGCAAGAAGACGATGACAGTAAAATAAAAACTAGTTTCAAGATCCAAGCATATCAAAGTAACATCAAGCCAACTGGCTTTTAAAAACAAGTGTTATCTTATAATTACTCATATTTTAAAGGTTTAGTAAGACTATGTGCTAGGGCTGAAGAAAGCTCTACCAGTGAAAATTCTAAAAACTTTAAAGGCCCTCTAAAGTGTGCAAAAACTCCCTTCTTGGGATAATCTTCCCGAGAATTCATATAATATCCATTATGGGGGGAAAAAATAGTAAATAGTAGCCCATTAAGAGAAACGTGCCATCTCAACCTCAGTTATCTGCACGTAATCCGTATTTGGATACAAAAAGTACCATAATGAAAATGAGAATGTTCACACTTCACATTATGTGCAGGACCAAATGAGTGGCATTTAGAGAGATCCCAACATTAATATATATAAGTTCATTCATAAGGTTGTTGCTCCATACAGAGCCATCTGGAGAGGCTAGCCAAGCAAAGCTGTGGAGCTTGGAATGAAAATGAGGTGTGAGAGGGAAGAAGAACTCTCCTCTCATGCCCATCCAGCTTTTCCCGGCGACAAACATCCTACAACAGCCTCACATCAACCCATGAAAACAAAGCTTTAATTCACATCTTTTCTTCCCTTGTTCAAGAAACTCTGGAAATTGAGTATCATGTCATGGGTCTTAAATTAAATAAGAAAACTAATTATTTACATTTCTCCTCTTAACAAAAAGGAATAAAATTGACCAAACGTAGCACTTATAAAACTCCTGGTAAATAATAGTTGTCAGCTGACTAGAAACCACATCATGAACAGAAATTTTCTTTTCCAAAGAAAAAATAACTAAGGTACTTAGTCCAACACTGCTGACGATTCCTCTAGAGTCCTCGTAACCAAGCTCAACCACAACACCCCCGGCAGAATGGATATCAGTAACTGAAAAGTATTTCGTTTGCATTTTTTTCTTACCAAGATTACGTGAAAACCCATTACTTTCAAATGTCGCATTTTCATAGCAAGGAATCCTCTGGGGTGGGCTAAATCCAAACAGTAAGTAGATCTAGGAACACACAGTACAGCTACTCTGAAAATGAAAATGCACAAAAGAAGACCCATTACTAATGAGATTACTACTACAATCGTGCTGCACTCCTGTTCTTTGGAGATTTTAAAGTCGAGTTCTCTGCTGACCACAGTTGTCACCATTCCCTCCTGCCCTGTCTTCCACGTTGTTACTTGGCCTCTGCAAATACTCCAGTATATGAAGGCTACAGACACCAAAAGCTTATAATAATGTTTTACATGATTAGCCCTCAACCATCTTTAAGGATGGCTATATTCTTGATGAGGAAAATATCCAGATAGGAAAGCATTTTAAGGCCTTCCTGTGCAGTGTTAATCTCTGATCTAAGTATAATTATTTATGCTACTAGAAGTATTGATGTAGATAAACCAGATGACAAATGCTCTTGTACATATTGTCTCCCAGAGAGAGAAGCATTTAAAAACCAGAACGGAGAGAGCAAATACAAAGAAGAAAACACTACGAGAAAGGCCAGACTGTTAAAAAGATAAAATCTGTATGTGTAACAAAACATGGAAGGTGTAATTTGTTTTTTCATTGTTCTTGGCCTTTTGGAAAGATTAAGTTGTTTGGGGGAAAAACAAGACCTTTGTATCCTTACTGTCTTCTGTTATACTTTGGCTGTTATCTGAGATAACATAAGAGAAATTTTGTTTTTTAAAGGAATGCTCATATTCCTTACTTCTCCTCAGTACTTTAGGCTGAGAGTTGCTATATTATGAGGCCCAAACAGTGGAGTACCTGAAAATGAAAAATTATCTTTCACAGAGGTCAAAGAGAAAGCCTTTCTTTCAGAGGAGATGGGTAATGTGTATAGGGAAGGTCACAGTGAAAAACATGGCCGAGGAACACGCTAGATAGATTCAGAAAGGGGTAAAGTTTACAGAGTTGGAGAATGGAAAGGCATGAGCAGACAGAGCGTGAAGCCCTACAGATTTCTGTTCTCTACTGTAATTATGTGCATGTCCTATGAAGCAATGGGGACAGAAGTTCCTTGGGGTCACAACCCATGTCTGACTCATCTTTGCCCTGCAGGGCCTTTCCACAAAGACTAACTGAACACAGGGTGTGTGCAACACGACCTGAAGCATCTGCACGGATAATTTCAATTATGTTAACATTGTTCTATTGTAGTACTCAGCTTTAAAACCTAATTTGTAAAAACTGCCTATTTCATTACATGGCTCAACTGCAGTCCACTGTCTTTAAGGAATGTCTGTATTTACACCTAAGCAGTAGATTAATGGATGATAAGTCTCTTGGTATATCACAAGCTCTGCACAAATAGGTCTTAGTATTGTTACTGCTACTTAATATGAAGTCTTTGAGAATTAAATTCAGAAAGCTCAGCAAATGAATATACATCAACAACCTTTGAGTATCTGCAGCGGAAGTTACCACGTCGGAAAATGGAAGCACTTGACTCCTGTTAATATCCATTCTTACTTCAAAATCTGAAAGAAAAGAATTAATTTTTCAAACACTGCTCAAAGTGATACTGTTTCCAAATGTGTACTAACCCTACCAATAATGATAATGGCATCAGAGGCAACATATGATGAGCGCACCATGTGCCAGACTCCAGTCTGGGGTTTATACGCATCACCTCATTTATTCACCACAGGAGCCCGATGAGGCGGGCACTCCATCTACTGCCACTTTACGGGCGAGGGGACGGAGCAAGGGGACAGAGCGAGGGGACGGAGTGAGCGCCTCACGAACAGAGCACTAGCACACACAAAGCAAGACTCCGAACCGGCAGTCCAGCTCCGGAGCCAACGCTCCACCAACCTGCCGTGGAAAACTCCTCATCTTCGCCGGAAATAAAGGAAAATAAATAAAATACAATAGAGGAAAACCAAAGAAAGCCCCATACCGATATGGTAATTGTGCGGCAACTGTCTGTTTTTTGAGAAGTATCCTTCTCCCAGAAGGCTACTTAGCGCATCTGCCACCTTCACGTTTGGATACAATGCCGTGGACGGCAGCGGTGGTGGGGCCAAATCTACCACGTTGTGACAAGAAATATCCAGTTTTAGGCAAGCAGCCAAAATACGAAGCTTGTGAGCATTCCTCTCGTCACCTAAAAAAAGGAGGAAAAAACTATACAGTTAAGAAGAAATATTAATGCCACGCTTAAGACATTGTATTAATGTACCTATATTTCTAATGATCTGTTTCTTCTCAGGAGGAATCTCTCTGGGTCTCCCTAGTTCCCACAGTGCCTACATCGGTGCCCGGTATTTGATTATGCTTGAAAGTTTAAAAGATCTTTCTGGGTGATTTCGTCTAAACTCTCCACTGAATGATGAGCAATGCCCAGGAAGGTTCAAATGCCTCATGATTTACCAAAGGCCAAGTTGGGACTCAAATCCATGTTTCCTGGGTTTAAGGCTGTTTCCCCCACTGTCACCACTTAAAAAAAATCAGCACGTGCTGCTCCTTCTTCACAATTTGACTTTGGAATTTCCCAACACTGTTTTTAAAAGAATTTAAACTTCTCTATTCTCAGACACATTATTGAATTTTGTACATCTAGCCGGATATTGCTTTTCTTTATTTAACATTAAAGACCAAAGTCAACAATTAATTTCATTCCAAGAGTAAATAAGTTCACTACTTTGGGAACTATTTGACTGCTTGATCTAAGAGCCTGTGTCCTCATTATCGGCCAGGAGTGACAAAGTGATTCAGGCTGCAAAAGCTGACTGAACTCAGCTCCAAAGGCGACATTAAGGATTAGGAAGTACAAACACCTCTGATCAAGGCGTAAAGAACACCGTGAACATGCAGCCTTCACACAGGTGCAGATGGTATAAATAAAAGGAACAATGGCGATGTGTTTCTGATCCTTGCTTTCTGTACGTTAAGAGTCTGTTACTAAAGGAGGCTGCATAGGTTTGCCGGTTTGAAGCACTGACCTCTGACTTCACCATTTTGGGTCCTTTCCTCAGTAGCATCTGCTCCACATGTTTTAACCAACTCTGCTCTAACGATGACCCTATTCAGAATCACAAAGTAGCTAGCTAGTGGGACTGCCTTATATCGGTCACCACTGTATGCGGACACCATACCTGACATCAGTTCATTGATGACGTCCTTTTGGAGAAGTGGATTAATAAGGGCCATGGGAAAATGGTTCATCAAGCAAAATGAACACACAGCATTCAATAAATTTTCAGAAGAGATGTGGTGGAGATAACCAGTCAGAGAAGTAGCCATAACTTCTTGGAACCTTCAGGGGAACAAAGAAAAGTCAGCTTTCAAATATAAATAGAAGACAAGGTCATGGTAGGGAGAGTAGGGTGCCAGAGAACCAAAGGAGTCCAAAGAAAGGAAGTAAGAAAATCAGACTGGCATTATGTCTTTCAGGTCAGGTGGCTATCTCAAAATAAATACATATTCTCAATAAATGGTAGTTAGCTACTGCTACATGTCTTGTGCAGAGTAAGTATTTCATAGGCTGTGACTCATTTAATTCTATTAAAACTTTATGGAGCAGGTATTCTTCTTCTTCTCATAATAAAGATGAGTGAACAGGTTCAGAGAGGTTGAGGAACTTGTCTAAGAACAAACAGCCAGGAAGTAGCAGAGACAGTGTTGGAATTCAAGTTGTCAGGCTCCAGAGCCTTTTAACTATTCTCCTGCATTTTTACCATGAGTGTGTCTGTAAGGTCTGGAACACCACCATAGTTTCACAACCAATTCAAATTCTCTAGCTATCAATATTCTGAGTTAAAAGAACTGCAAGCCTAATCCTACCACGCAGAACTAATGTTCTACAGTATGACAAAGCAGTTAAGCATGGATGAAGAGAGCAAAGATCAATTCAGGTGGGGCCCCTTGCCCAGGGTGACATGGTAATAAATGGCACAGACAGGTTCTGAACCCAGGTCAGGCTTAGGACATAAGCTATCTATCGTTCTGTAAGAAAAAAATGAATGACACGCCAAGTATGGTGATAGCGCACAGGAAAGGAAGTAGAGAGAGCAGCTTTGGGTATAAGGAGAATTTCAGGAAGTGGAAACGATGGGAAAAGGGAAGATCATGTGGAACCGAGCAAAGAAACGGAGGCCTGCAAGGGCACACTATCTGCTTGCTGGTGAGGCGAAGGCACAGAGCTCAGCTTCTTCCGGCGAAGGCAAGCCTGCCCTGGAGCGAGCCTTTACACACAATGAGGCTGTCCAGGAAAAGGCCTCAGATCAGCTGGGAGGTCCCACGGGCAGCAGCAGATGGCTGAGGGAGGGAGTGGGAGGATGTGGCAGGCTAAGCAGGACTGCGGGAGTTACTATGGGGTGGGAAACAGCAGTGAGGCCAGAAAGGGTGGGCTGCAGACGATCACATTTGGAGCCTGGGTGGTAATCACCTATTCGATCTCATCCCACTCCTGTACCTCCTGCTTTAGTAACACCCAACTTCGTGTCCTTCCCTGCGATGCTCTGCTCTTTCTTTCCTCCCTGACTTGAACATGGTGTCCCTTCTGCTCAGAATCTTCTTTCCTGCTTATCTTCCTATGGTTACCTCCTATCTCCCCACCTTTGAAGATCTGCTTAGGTACCACCTCCTCCAGGCAGCACCGCTTGGCATTCATCCTGAAGCTCCATGTCACCAGGCTAGAGTTCTGGTGCATCCTTCCTCTACTGCCATAAGTTCTGCATAAAATCTATCACTCCAATTTTCAAGCTGTCTTTAATTGCCAAACTCTATGTGTCTACCTTACCCATTACAGAGAATCCTGGCAAAAAGGATTGTGTCGTGGGGTGCCTGGCTGGCTTGGTTGGTGTGGCATGTGACTCTTGATCTCAGGGTGGTGAGTTCAAGCTCCATGTTGGGTGTAGAGATTACTTAATAATAAAATCTTTAAAAAAAAAAAAAAAAAGGATTGTGTCTTACTCATCTTTGTCCTGAGTACCCAAGTGCTTGGTATAGGTTTTCTGGCTAAATAAACAAACAAATTTAGATGAGGAAGACATAAAGAAGAGAATGTTAGTAGAAAAAGATGAATCAAGAATAATTATGCACACCAAGTTGTGTACATTAAACACGTACAGCTTTTTACATGTTAATCATACCTCAATAAGGTGGTTTAAAAAATCATTTCACATAGTTTTTAGTAAATAACTGATGAAGGAGGAGGAGAGGGAAGAGAAGAAGCAGGAAAAGAGGAGGAAGAAGAGGAAGAAGATCTATGGTGACCACAAGCAACCCACAGATATTCTCGAGTTCAGGAGCACACTGAGCACCAGAGATGCAAATCTGGGATTATCTAGGGGGTGGTAAGTACAGATCAAGAAGAAACCAGGGGACTGAAATGAAAGTTGAAATGCTAAATGTTTTCTTTCTTGGGTTCCAAACCCCGGAACATACTCTGGATTTAATACACCCTCTCCCCTAGAAGCCACCACATAAATAAAATGATTAATGTACCACATGTGGATATACAATGTGCTAAGCCAAATTTTCTACCACTCTCTGCTAATCAACTTCCCAAATGCTCTGAGTTAGCCTGCTTCTATAAATCTGCCACTGCAGCCGAAGACACCATCATCCTTTCTCTGTCTTCCCTAAAGCGTTCATTTGGTACCTCCATTTATTGCCTTCCTCTGGAAGTCCAAGACTTGCCTCCTTAAGTAGACTGGAAGAACAGGGAACACGATGTAACAATGTGGACCAAGTTGTCTCTTGGGATGCCCACAATGAGCTGAAAAACTCCCTAACCACCCAGTGTTTGTTCTCCTAATACCATGGAATCCGTGCAGCTGTTTCTGGAGTTTCAATTACCACTCAGCTTGGGCACCTGGGTGGCTCAGTTGGTTAAGCGACTGCCTTCGGCTCAGGTCATGATCCTGGAGTCTCGGGATCGAGTCCCACATCAGGCTCCCTGCTCAGCAGGGAGTCTGCTTCTCCCTTTGACCCTCCTCCCTCTCATGCTCTCTGTCTCTCATTCTCTCTCTCGCAAATAAATAAAAAAAAAATCTTAAAAAAAAAAAAAAAAATTACCACTCAGCTTGACAGTGTTTGTCAAGAAAGTGCTGGAGGTACATGAGAGACAGCCTCAGAAGAAAACCAATCCAGGGGAGCAGAGGAAGACGGAATTTGGGGGATATTCGTACACCTTCATTAGATGCCTATTCTGTGCCAGGTCTTGTGCTAAGTTCAGAATAACAAGAAGCTGGGTCTGACTCTGGAGAGCTTTCCAACTGAGAAGCAGACACAGGCTTACGGACATATAATTATAGCTCTGTGTCAAGGCTCGACCAGAGATTCATAGAAGATGTGACAAGCACTGGGGCTCTGATGGACAAGCCAGGGAGGCACAGGAAACACAGCACGAACAGAGTTTTTCAGTACAGTGGAGGCTACGACAGGCAGCTGCTGTTCGGCAGGCCCAGCACCACTTCTTGGGTTACGTGCTCCAAAGGGAGGGCGTGTGACCCAAACTCAATCGGATCTCCTCTTCTGGAAATCTGAATCCTGAGGGAAACCACAAGGACAGAAAGCAGCTGAAGTCAAGTCACTCACCTGATGGCAAAGAGATGGTCTGTGACTCTTGCCACTGAGACTCTCAGAACTGGCCTAGTTTGTTCCTGCCACCCTGTGACTACACTGTAATTCTTTTACACAGCTTAACCCATTTAATCCCTGAAAGACTCAATGTGATTAGGAATAACTCTTATTTCTTCTCCCCGTTTTAACAGATGAAGAAACTGAAGCACAGATTAGCAACTTGCCAAAAGTTAAGGAGCTGATGAATGGCAGGGCTGGGATTCAAACCTAAGCACTATGTCTCCAGAGTCTGTGCTTCTAAAAAAATGACATTTTATATACATTTTTGTTTTTAGTGAACTCAAACTGATCTAGAGAGGGAGAAAAGACATTCTGGGTGGAAAGCAGAGGTATGAAAGAGCCCAGAATGTCTGAGGAACTGCTTAATAGTAGAAATGCATGGTTGTGGTTAAAAATGACAATTATAGAAAGCAGTAATTTGGGACCAAATGAATAGGCAGGGTCAAAACTGAACTATGAACTCAGGAGCTGAGGGAATAAGCTAGGAGAGTTTGAAATGAAGACTCCTATGCTGAATTAACAAATAACATCATAAAGAACAAAGAAACAAGCAAGACAAAAAACCCCAACAAAAATAACTTCACAAATAAAGAATACTACACCTTATTTCTTGATATAGATGACGGCCATGGATGTGTTCACTGTAATAATGCATTAAGCTTATGATAATATGTAACCTTTTCTTGAAGTATGTTATGTGACAATAAAAAAATTAAAAAAAAAAACAAGTACATACTCTGTGGTTTGGCATTTGTAGAAGTGATTGAGAGAAGAATACACATGAAGAATACAGATAATGCTTTTCATGTTTAGAGAGGCAGGATCAGCTATCACTTTCTTCATGAACAAGTCCATCAAATCAGTATGTCGAAAGCCAAGGTTTTCAAATAAAATGAGGAGAAAGAGAACCTTTAAAAAAAGAGTGAATTGAGGGAAAACTTTTCAATTATAGAATGCTACCAGTAATTTTTTTAGATCTCAAAAAATTAAAAGAGCAATAGAACTGTCCAGATGAAGAGAATATTCCCTAAAAAGAAACAATTCTCTCTTCCTCACACAATCTGTTCCAGCAATTCCTGAATCAGATGTTAATAAACAACCTCTTTTTATAAACTGAGAACCAGAGCATACAATGGTTTCCATACTTCCATTTCATTTAAAAATAAATCCTTTCTTACATGCTTTTCATACATCAGACCTAAAAACTACCTTAAATATACCTTTTCTGAGGTTTTTCAAAATGACCAACTCAATTTTGAACTATTCCCTCTTCCAAACCTAGACACTTTCTACATTCAAAACATCTAAGAGGTAACTCAAAAATTTCTATATTCAATATTGAGTTGTACAAATGAGAACAGAGATGAAATATACTGTGATTAAATTAAAATTTCCAGTTCACTTCTCATTTCCCTCTTGGAACTTCTATTAGTATTTCTCTTTCCAAAACCAATTTCCATGGCAAACTCAATATGCACCTTACTCTCCAAAGTAAAGTGAACCTAGTGACTGAACACAATTACTGCTGCTTCATTACAAAAAGAAGTTTTTACCAGCTGCTTCATTAGATGTTTCTATTACTAATATAGCCCCCAAATTTAAAGGTTCTTGTTCTGGAAGAAACAAAACAACCTTCCATAAATAGAAGACAGACATAAGAATTAAGTAATGGCATTTTATTCTTCAGAACGCATAAGCCTGTCACATCACCTGTTTTTACTATTCTAAGTCTAAAAAAGAAAAACAGAAAGACAGAAATAATCCTAATTATCCAAAGTACCACACTATCTTTTAAAAAAACAAATAGAAGAACAAACTTCGGACAACATAATTTTTCTTTCGGAAAGATGGTCAAAAGATTAAATAGTATATTAACAGGTAACTTCTAGACAGAAATGATAAAGAGCTATTTTTTCAAAAGTCATTTCAACATTGCAATATTTTAGTCTCTTAACTACTATAAAGCTGACAGAGAAATACCCAGAATGTTAAATGAATTGATGTGCTTCTTGAAAATTTCTGAGGCTTATTCTAAACTGTTAACACACTTACTTGCTTTAACTTCCAGATGTCAACAGTTGCAGCCACATAATCTGCTATTCCCTTAAAAAGATCTAAATTACGGTACCGGAGGTCTCTGCAAGACTGCAATATGTTGCTCAGTACTTTAAAAGGACACCCATGGATATTACCTTTAAGAATGAGTTAAATAAACAAACAAAAATTACCAGATGGCTTTGAATTTAAAATCCAAGATACTCTACACTCAATATATTTGTTTCTTTAGAAAAATAAAGCACTGTATTTTGTAAAAGACAAAACAAAAAAACTATAGGCAAAAGTAAAACTCAGGTCTAATCATATCATCAGTTATTATTTGCATAACAGTAAAGTTTTTAAAACTAACAATTACAGTCCAGAACAGTAGGTCAGATGCTAAAAATCATGAAAGAAAAATTCCCCTTACCTATGACCATCTTACTGCATTCATCCAGAAGTATAATAGAGCGGTGATTCATGGCAGCTAATGCCTCAAACATGTGCTGGCTATTCAAATCAGAAAATCTGTCTAATTCTCTCAAGGCTTTCATCTAAAGAAAGACAAACTTTAATCTATAATTTGTGGCAAAGTATATTAAACTTTTATTTTTAAGTAAAATGGATAAAGTTTCAGCAAAATGACTCAAACAGATATACAGGTCAAATATACAGATTTATATGTACAGGGGCGCCTGGCTAGCTCAGTGGGTTAAGCATCCGATCTTGGTTTCAGCTCAGGTCACGATCTCATGTGTCATGAGACTGAGCCTGGTGTTGGGGCTCCGCACTCAGTGGGGAGTCTGCTTGAAGATTCTCTCCCTTTGCCCCTCCTCTCACTCGCATGTGCACGTTCTCTCTCTCCCTATCTCTCAAATAAATAAATAAATCTTTAAAAA